CTTTTTTGTATTTTCTTTTATTCGTTACTTCTCTGTCTTTGCGCACTTTGTTTTTTGTTTGCCTTTCTGTGTTTGTCTGTCTTTCGTCTCTATGTTTTTTTTTTCTCTCTCCTCTCATTCTCTTACAAATACTCCTGCTTCTCTCCTTTCTCCCTCTCTCTCTATTCTCCCTCTTCTCTCTTTCTCCCACTTCTTCACTTCTTTTCTCCTCGCCTCTCTTCCTCACCAGCTTTCCTTTTCCCTTTTCTCTCCCTCTGTTTCCTTCCATTGCCTCTTCCTATCTCTTCTACGTCTTTCCTATCCTCCTCTCCTCCCCCATCTTTCTTCTTCCTTCCTTCTTCTTCCATTCTTCCTTCTTTCTTCCCGAAACCGCAAAGTATATATATATAAGCATATATGTATATCTGTATGTACATCGATCTATCTATCCGTATGTATGTATGCATGTATGTATGTAGCTATATGTCTATACCTGCGCCTACATTCTCTCTACATCTATTTATCTATTTATCACTTTATCTATATCCATGACTTCTGTCTATCTGTCTTGATATATTAACCACAAAGAGAACCACCAAAGAGAGAGAGAAGAGAGAGAGACGAGAGAGAGAGAGACGAGAGGAGAGAGAGGAGAAGAGGAGACGAGAGAGAGAGAGAAGAGAGAGAGAGAGGAGAGAAGAGAGAGAGAGAGAGAGAGAGAAAGAGAGAGAGGAGAGAGAGAGAGGGAGAGAGAGAAAAAGGAGGGAAGACACAGAGAGAGAGAAAGAGAGGGAGGGAAGAAAGGAAAGAAAGGAGAGACAGGACAGAGAGAGAAAATACAAGAGACAGACACACAAGCCAACAAAATAACAAAAGAGAAAGGCCATGAAACCTCCCAACCCCTTCCTCCCCTCCCCCCCACACCCCCTTCCCCCACCACCCCGGCCCTCCCGCACGCACATAAAACATAACCAAAAAGAAAAGCGAAAACAATCTCATTATGAGTGTTTTCTCCCTTTTGTCCATATCACGGGAACGCGCGCCTCCGTGAGAACACAGCAGATGACCCGACCCGGTGTTCAGTCTTGTTGAAAATTGGCAGGAGACGAAATCCTGACCATTTGTACAGCCACCCTATTTCCTCCTGTGTAATCGTCTTATAGGTGGGGAGAGCCGGGACGGTGCGGTTGCGTGTGAGTGTGGAGTGTGTGTGCGTGTTGGGGGAAGGAGGAGGGAGGTGGGTTGAGTGTGTTGTGTGTTGGAGGAGGAGGGAGTGGTTGAGTGTGTGGGTGTGTTGGGGAGGGAGGGAGGTCGGCTGAGTGTGAGTGTGGAGTGTGTGTGTGTGTGTTGAGGAGGGAGGAGAGGTGGGTTGCGTGTGAGTGTGGAGTGTGTGTGTGTTGTGGGGGGAGGGAGGGAGGTGGGTTTAAGTGTGAGTGTGGAGTGTGTGTGTGTGTTGGGGGAGGGAGGGAGGGGAGGTCGGCTGAGTGGTGTGTTGTGTGTGTGTGGGGTGTGTGTGTGTGTGTGTGTGTGTGTGGGGAGGGAGTTGGGTTGAGTGTGTGAGTTGAGTGTGTGTTGCGTGTGAGTGTGGGAGTGTGTGTGTGTGTTGGAGTGTGGGAGTGAGGTGGGTTGAGTGTGAGTGTGGGTGTGTGTGTGTGTGTGTGGTGGAGGGAGGGAGGGAGGTGGGTTTGAGTGTGAGTGTGGAGTGTGTGTGTGTGTGTGTGGTGGGGCTGGGAGGAGGTGGGCTGAGTGTGTTGTATGTGAGTGTGGGGTGTGTGGTGTGTGGAGTGTGTGTGTTGGGGAGGGAGGGAGTGGGTTGAGTGGGTATTATGTGTGTGTGTGGCGGTGTGTGTGTTTGTGTGTGTCTGTGTGTGTGTTTTGTGTGTGTATGTGTGTTGTGGTGCGTTGGTGTGTGGTGTTGGGAAAGGAGGGAGGTGGGGCTGAGTGTGGTGTGTTATGTGTGTGTGTGTGTGTTGTGTTGTTGTGTGTTGTGTGTATGTGCGTGTGGGTGTGGTTGTGTGGTGTGTGTGTTGTGTCTGTGTGTGTGTATGTATGTGTGTGTTAGTAGTGTGGTGTGTGTTAGGGGGGGCTGAGTGCATGTTTGTGTGTATTTAGTATGTCTGTTGGAGTTGAGTGTATGTTGTGTGTGTGTGGAGTGTACGGGTGTGTTTGTGCGTGTTGTGGGTGGAATTGTGTTGTGTTGAGATATGTGTGCGTTATATGTGTGACGATTTGTGTGTGTGTCTTGTGGTGTGCCGTGTGTGTTGTGTATTTGGGTTTGTATAGATGTGGTGATGTCTGGTATACACAGGTATTTTGAGTTATATATATATATATATATATATTATATATATATATATTATATATATTAATGTATATGATATTTATATGTGTGTGTGTATAGTGGTGCGTGTGTGTTATGTGTGTGTATATGTGGGCTTATATGTACTGTATGTATGTATGTATGTATATATATCTATATCTAATCTATCTATCTAATCTATCTATCTATCTATCTATCTATCTATCTATACTATATATCATATATTATATATATATATAATTATATATATATATATATATATATTTTAGGGAGTTGCTCTGTTTTTTTAGGAAAGGATTTTCTGGATTATTTTGGAACCTGTTGTTCGGTCTTCGTTTTACAGGGAGTTTTGTTTACTTTAGTTTTGGTTTTATTTCATTTTTACTGTTTATTCTCGTTTTTTTTTTTTTGGGGGGGGGAGGTATGTGTCTTTTTTTGAGTCGTTCATATTTTATGGGTTATTCATGCATTCTATTTTCAAACTGGAGGTTAATTTTGTTGTTTGTTTCTTTTGTATGTGCTCTCTTCTCTCTCACTCACTCACTCATTCTCTTCTCTCTCTCACTCACTCATTCTCTCTCTTTATTCATTCTCTCTTCTCTCTCACCATTCATTCTCTTTCTCTCTCAATCATTCTCTCTCTCTCACTCATTCTCTCTCTCTCTCACTCATTCACTCTCTTTATTTATTCTCTCTTCTCTCACTCACTCATTCATCTCTCTCTCTCCTTACTCATTCTCTCTCTTTTATTCATTCTCTCTCTCTCTTCTCGCCTATTCATTCTTCTTCTCTCTCTCCCCTCTTCTCTCCTCTCTTTCTCTCTTCTCTCTCTTTTATTCATCTCTCTCTCTCTCAATTCATTTTCTCTCGCTCATTCATTTTTTTCTTTTTCTCTTTTCATTCATTCTCTCTCTCTCTTTCTTTCTGTAACTCATTCTCTCTTTATTTCCTTCTCTCGCTCTCTCCCATTCACTCATTCTCTCCTCTCTAATTCATTCATTTCTCTCTCTCACTCACTCACT